AAGCAAGGAAGCAAGGAAGCAAGGAAGCAAGGAAGCAAGGAAGCAAGGAAGCAAGTTCCCTTGATGTCTTACCACAGGTATTTGTTTCCATGATTTCATGCTGCCGGCATCCAAGACATTGCTGGACACCTTCACGATATTCTACAAAAACAACACTCTATTAATAGGTAACCCAATATTATCCATATATTGATGCGTGTCCTAACGTGAAGTATAAGTGAGGCAACAAGTCTCTCAGTTACAGTGAAATCGAAAATTAAAGAAATCGTATGATATTAATGAAAACTACCGCTAAAAGTTGTCTTTGTGAAGCTAATTCCATCACTGAGGTGTTCCTTGCCGTAAGTTCATCCAGCGTCTTGATTATATTCACGATAGTCTTGACATCCCCACCATATATAGCCAGACCGTTAGTTAGGTTGGTTGCTTGAACGAGATCGTATGATATATCAGTGATTGCCTCTTCATTCATGTGCTCTGTATTCAGCTATAATAAGAAATCGCAATGAATGCGAGTTAGATTTGGTGTCGAAGGCTAAAGACACGAACCTACAGGTTAATTAAGGGAACCGTTTACGTGAAGGACTATGAATCAAGTGTGGTGTAGCGGTAGCCACACTCATCCTCTTTAGTTTCTCCCTTCATTCCAGGGGTTTGATAAGCCCAGACGTTGTTCAGGGTTTGATCTGTGAGTTAGCCGTGCCCTGACTTTGATCAAAATGAAAAAAAAAAAAAAAAAATTCGTCAGAACTTACTCTGTTCTGTATATTCAATATGCGCTCAGAGACACAACCCTCGAGGTTTGGTGGGGTCCAAGTGGCCTTTCCTTCCTTCAAACCACAAAATCGTTCAGCGACTCCTGACGAAAAAAGGCAAAATAACACGGTAGGACGTGTACAGTTACGATTTCAAGGAAAAGAACTTGTTCCGCAGTAAAACAGACGCAAGCAATACAACACCAACTGCAAGCGCAGACAGCCTTTCATCATTAGTTAAACCCCTTTGTATATTGAAGACCTCGAAAACGCGCGTACGTGCTGTGTGCTCTTTTAAAGCACGCTCAAACAGCCAATCAGACTGCGAGATTTACAACAGTCACTTTACAAATATTATGTCTGTCGAACAGAACATATAAGTGGACCAATTTGCTGGTAGTATTTTCTGCGCTTGTTTTTGTCGTTGTATGTGGGCATACGATGAGGAAATTTGTTTTGCTTGATTGTTATTTGAATTGCTAACTAGATGATTTATTGAACATTTCAATAAAGTGAAGTGACAAAACCTATTGGTAAAATGGTTGGCACATTAACATCGCATACAAACATTACGTCCACCTATAAGCTAGCCTCTTGGGAACTGTCACGCAACGTTTCCTTCCCAAAACGTTGCGTGACAGACCCTTAAAACGTCTGTGTAGGAGGCTACCTATGTCTTTTTCACTAGTGAAAAGCAGGCGCCATTTATGCCATACTAACCTTCCGTTCCCCGTGGGCAGAGCACTCGTGCTTGTTGCCCAACAGTCGTCCATCGCCACGAAAGATCCTCAGTGATTTGGAAATCACACGCGTTCATTTTATTAGAGTCCACTGCTGCATGAAAAGCAAAACCTTAGAGTATATTTTCCCTCAAACTTGGAATGGCTCATAAAGAAAAGAACAGTCAATATTTTGTACTTACTCACACACGTGGTCCCGTTGCCAGCGTATCCAGGTAAGCAACTACAGACATAACTACCACGTGTGTTTAAACATGATGCGTATCCACTGCAATTGTGCAGCTTGGTCTTACACTCATCTAAATCTGTAGAAATAAATAAGCATACCATACGTTTATCCAATCCATTTCAAATACATTCCTATACGTTCATCCAAGCTCTCTTAGGTACATTCTTATTCCAATACGTTCATCCAATCGGCCAAATGCAAAAAACTTGCACCGATGGTGTGAACAAAGGGATCTGGCATGATTTGTGATTTTGAATCACGCCAGATTGCTTTGAATCACGCTAGATCCCTTCGTTCACAACTTAAGCTTCACATCGGTGCGAGATTTGCATTTAGCAAATCCCTTTCAGGTACATTCTTATTCCTATACGTTCATCCAAGCCTTCTCAGGTACATTCTTATTCCAATACGTTCATCCAATCCATCTCAGGTACATTCTTATTACCATACGTTCATCCGAGCCTTCTCAGGTACATTCTTATTCCTATACGTTCTTCAACCAATTAAATTGATGTATATTATTATCCCAATACGCTATGAAATTTAATTCTATTTTTTACGAATAAACTATAAAACAGTCTACTAACCCAGTGTGTAGATTAGCTGAGGTAGCACCATCCATGGTCCTCTGCTTCGTCTGTTTCTTCCTCTTACTTGCATCCTATACCCCGTGTATTGCTCTAGTCCTACAATGAGTACCGATGTCGTATTTGATCGTACATGTCTTGTTTTGCAGTCTGTGTTTCTACAGGCGCGAATCTCATACGCCTTGACTTCCATTCCTGGATCTATGGGTAGCCACTGGACGTGAATGGTTTTCCAGTCTTTTGCAATTGCTTGGAGTCCTTGGGGTTTGCCTGTTGATAGACGTAAATATATAGGCAAGTGTAAGATGAAGGAACCACTACTTAAAAAAGAAAGAATGGAAGAATAGAGAAATGAAAAAAAGAACGAACGAACGAACGA